ATAAGGAATAGAACTGTGGAGAGAAGCTAAGCCTTTCGATATCCAACGTCTCCAATCCTTCTAGTCTAACGTCCTCGATCAAAAATAAACGCTCCGTATTAAGTCACCATACTACCATCCACAACGACCTTAAAATCCCATTTATCCAAAACATAATTCCCCAAAACTTTATCCAGTTCCACAATAATTTCCCATATTCCGTAAGGCGTCTCAAGAGGAAATGGCTCCGCGACCTCCTTTCTGGGAAGTAGACAGTGAAGTTTATTTAGGGAAGAAAAGTGGGAGAATAATACTGATTATTTGTTCCTTTTAATGTAAATATGTAAGTAGTTGTAAACGCTTTTATCAAATTACATATTGTAACTAAAAATTGGGTATTGTAAGAAAATATTGAAAAATAAAAGCATTTACTTGTCAAAGTCGTTTTAGTATTTTAGCTTCAAAGCCTAGGAATGTTTCCAGGCATTTATCATCAATAAAAAAGAGCAATCTTTTCAAAGAGCAGTTTTTCATTTTTTGTATATTATTCTACGATATTTTTAGGTCACTTTTATAAAAAAATATTTTATAAAAATTGTGCCTTTATTCAGTGTATCAATGGTCGACTGTTACATTAATTGAAAATAATATTTAGGATTTTTAATAAAATTATACATCAAAACCATTTTTACTGGTTTTCTTTTGTATAAAATTTTAATTACTTAATCATATTTTACATAATTGTGACATGATTTTGCAATCTTGTATTCTGACTTTGCTATTCCTTTCTCAAGATTAGTTAAAAAATCAATTCCTTGTTTGGGGCAGATAACAATTTATAGTTGACGTTGATTGATCACCTATGGTCCGCCTGTTCTCGCTCGCCCGTTGTCGATTGTGGTCCGCTAAACAATTTTATTTTTCACCTGAGGGTTTTGCGGCCTTTACCTACTTCAGTTGAAATAGTTTTATTTTCGTTTGTACAAAAAATTCGTTGGGGCAACCAGTGAGATAGTGAGTCCCTTTGAACTCACTTAAAACGCAATATCAACTTTGAAAACAGCAATTGCGAGAATAGACATGATCAATTCTAATCAAACCGCTCTTAACAGTTTACGAGGCCGCAAAGATTTCAGTAATTCAATATTTCATATAAAATCAAATTAAATTTAGAACATGATCAATAATGGTATGATTTATTTTATATGTTTTATAACTCCTTGCGACCTATCAATATTAGTTTACTTATCAATAATCATCAGTTTTGTAAACTTTCTATAATAAAATTACTATAAAATATTTTGTAATAAATGTAATACATTACAATATGTTTTACTATACATACAGCGAAATGGACAAATATACTATTACTGTTTTGAAAATTATTTACGAGTTCTTAAATTTTAAAAAAATTGCCTTTTTGCAGCTTTAGTTTGTTACTAATTACTACTAAAAGCGTATTGTACTTAATTACCAATACATTAATTAATATCTTTGAATATAATGAAAAATTCAAATATTTAAAAACAAATATAAAGGAAATAAAGTTGACTCCAAAAATGAGAAAATAATGTCATAGTCATGATACCATTATTATTTAGAAAATTTTAATAATCAATTAATCGTCGTCAAACTGTTAATTAAACCGTGTTCTATTATTTCTATACAATTGCGTGGAGAGTTTTTAAATTTTTTAAATAAACGAGCATAAAATAACCTCTTTATACTTTAAGCCAAGCAAAAGTCAAAGGTTATCTACTTATTAGAAATGTTCAGTGAAAAAGATCGTTGTCTTTGAAAATCACATGCTCATTAACATTACCTTCTTCTTTTACTGTAAATAATGAGACATTTGTTTGAGTTTTCTCGTCCTGACTATCAAGCAGCAGTAAGTGGAAAAAATATAATAGATGTTTATTGACAAAATCTATGAGAAAACAGCAAGGTCACTGGAGTCTAACTGCATACGATTCAATAAGTAGATAAGTACAATAAATCGATAAGATCTATAGAAAAAGAGTTATGTTTAATTAATATCGATATTTGGCAGTTTAAGATATTTTGTTACTTTTATAATTAAAACACTCTAAAGACCGCTAAATACACATTTTTTTTTAATTTTTAATTTATCAACTTTTTGACTACTAAAATTTTTCCGTTTTTAAGAAGTTCTCAGAATATCTGATCGAAACGTCTATAATTCAAAAATGGTTAAAAGGATTTTAAAGTCAAACATACCATTTAAAAGAAGAAAAATGATCCTTTTTCTATTGACAAAGAGATATGTATCATAAAAATATATAAAAGATTTCAATAAGAAAATACATAAAATAAGAAAATAATTTGGTCAAAAAAACGTCGTTTTTTTTAAAATAATAGTCCGATTTTAATTACAGTTGTAAAATGTATTTGACAGTTTCTTTAATACGAATTATCAACCATAAAAATCGGTCAACTAGCTTTTGAGAAAAATGTTGCTAGAGCTTGCACTAAGAATTTCAGTCACGCAGAAGGTCGTGCGAGAAGAAATTATCAGTCAAAAAATTAATTTACACCGATTTCCGCGAAAGTCGGTATCTACGGGTTTTATAATGCTATAATCACGACAATGAGGTCAAATCTACGTTTTAACCATTTCTGAAGAATTCCGAATGAATATTTTTTACTGTTACTAATTACTTATCTACTACTACTACTAACTGCACTGATCAACGTCAAAATATCTTCTGGCATTCGCTTGCTTACAAACGTAAGGCGTTCCTGTTAACAAGGGAGAATAATTAATTCCATAAATACCCTCCACTTTTCTAATAACAACGTGTTAATTATAAATAAACTTAAGGGAATTCTTAATAAATCGAGTTAATCGGGGCACCGGAACACAAAGGGCTGCACTCTCAGGTATTAGAATATTCAAAACATCCTTGCTCTCCACAAAGTCATACCGATGTTCGTTCAAGTCAAATACTTAGGATTATACGTAGGCAGCAAACTGACCTGGAATCTCCACACAAGACTTAGGAGACAACAACTTAACAGAAGATATAGACAACTACGAAGACCTCTAGCACCGTCAACACTTCACTGCGACCACTTTAGACATAAAAAAGTTGAACTGCGGGGTTCTGCCAAGCCATCTAACATCCAGCACATGTCTTCCGTTCAATCAAAAGTCCTCATACAAATCGTCAAACCTCCCTACTACAGTAACCTCACTATCCACAACCAATTCCTTTTGTAAACAAACTGATCCTATTCCCGATTCAAAATATTTCTACCCTAATATCTCGATTCTTTCTAATCCTACCATGTCTACACGTCGCCTTAATCGACAACGGCCTCAAAACCTTATAGCCGCAGAACCCCTCACATACATTGCCAGCATTGGCTGGTTTTTCTTGGCATATGTCTTCCGATTGCAGCGCTGGTATTAACGTCAGTGCTATGATCGTGTGAAAAACGATTTGTGATCACATTTTAAATGTACTAGTAAGTAAGGGCTCAAATAAAATAATTAAAAAATAAATCAAATGGATCAACAGTTCGGCATGACACAGACGTTGTGCGGGTTTAGCCTATTCTATGTTATGTAAAATTCATAAATATTTAATAATTACTGAATAAACACTTCTCTCCTTTTAAAGTTACTTAATTTTCTGTTTCTAAATCATTTGGAAAATTATCTTTAAAACCCAACTTAAAATGTAAGTGTATTTATATTAATTGCCTTAGTAGGGGATGCCCGTCGACGCGGGCGAAGTCAGGTGTCAGGTTAATGAGATTTGGAGGCAGACGAAAGAAATATTTTAATATAGCTAATATTGTTTGTTTAATTGATGGAGGGATTATTAATATTTAAATTATCAATTATATGTAACCGAGGATTATTTCTTTCATTTTCTTCATTGTCCCTTAATTTTTACTATACACTCCCTACATTCTGATTCCTTCTCCGCTGGTAGCAAAGCGCTTAATTCACAGCAATGAAACTTTTTTTCAAAATCTAATTTTAGTCACAATTAAATGTCAATAAATCGTTATTTAGAGATTAAAAAATATTTAAAAAGGATGGTGATTGGTTATAAAAAACATTTTTGTATTTTATGTATTTTCTTATAGAAATCTTCTATAGATTTTTATGGTACATCATTCTAAAACTACGTGTCTCTTCTTTCAAATGGTATGTTAGGCGTTAAAATCATTTTAGCGCTTTTTGAATTATAGACGTTTCAATAAGAAATGCCGAGAACGGCTTCTTAAAATCGAAAAAATTTCAGGCGTCAAAAAATCAATAAATATACATTCAAACAAAAGTTTATATTTAGGGTTCTTTAGAGGTGCTAAAACGAAATTTCATATTATTTTCTCGAGAAAAAAAATTTATGACCTAGTTTACTTGAAAAATATTCGTTTAGATTATAAAAATTATTTTATATACTAATTATTTTTATACGTACGTAAATGTTTAGTAAAATTACGTTAGTTGTTTGTATATTTATTTTATTAATCACAGGATTGTATACAATTAAACAATCCAAAAGAAATATTGAAATAAATCCGTACTTAAAACAATAGAATTGAATAGTAGTCAATGTTTTAGAGCTAGTTCACTGGTTCTGTCTTCTTACGTTCACTAACATCGTCACATGTTACTAACTTCCAAAACAAATGAATATTAATTCATTAATTTAGGTGGCCAATTGAGCCGTTCAAATTACCCTCATTGGTCGAAAGCTCTTTTTCTTCAGGGAAAAAAAGATATAGAAACTAACTTTGTTCTATGGAACCACTTTCTTTCATTTCACCTTCCAATGGTTTTAAAATTCTTTTACTTATAACAAATGATCTACTCCTTAGAATTATTAAGGATTAAGTTACGTGCTAATAAATTAATTCTGCATATCACGAGTTGTCCGACAGGTTTTTCTTTATGCTGTTATTATTTGAAAAATATAATAAATTAAGACCGATATTATATAATAACGCAGAAATCAAACAATAGTTTATGTTTAATTTTTTAGGTGTGACCGGACTGAGGGATGTGAAAGTGACGGTGCCAGAGGCTGTCCGCCTGGGTCAACATGCAGTTCTTTCTTGTTCCTTCCAGTTAGACGGCGAATCACTTTACACGGTCAAGTGGTACAAAGGGGGTCGCGAGTTCTTCAGGTACACCCCCAAGGAGAACCCTTCACTCAAGATCTTCTCGATGCCGGGCCTCGGCGAAGAAGACATAGCCGTAAGTGGAAAAGCTCATCACGGAAAAAACGGAGGATTTTTACGGATGAAATAATTCAGTCAGCCCTCCGGGCCTCGTATTTTTATCCTTAGCCAAATAGGCGGCGTTTATTGCATTCCCACAGCCTAATGGTTTCCTGAGAATCCCTCTCCTATATTAGATCCTTTGCAAATGATATCTATTAGAATAATAAATTGTAACTCTCTTTACAACCTTAAATTTCTTAAATAATATTATTTCATTAAAATGTAAGGGATGATTACTCACTAAGAGACTGTAATTTTTAAGATAGTTTTTATGTTTCAAATTAAAGTAAAGAATTTTAATAGATAGTATATTATATTAGATAGAGTTTATATTGTTATTTCCTTAGGCTTGTTTCTTTTAGGCTTCAAGTTGTGTTCGTAAAAATACTGCTTTACACGTATTAAGAATAAGACCGACTAATTTTAATAAATGATCGCAACGATAAATGACAAACGATAAATACGTGATTATTTTAAAAACATTTTGTCGGTCTATTTGTGAAAAAATGAAGAACACATGTCTGAAAATATCGAAGAAAATCCAATATATGATTCGAATGTTCGTAAAAAAGTAATAACAGAAATTTATATCATCTACTCCAAAAGCGTCAATATTTATAGAATGGTATAAAAAGATTGTTTTTTTTTTCTATTCCATGCTCGTTGATTTTTATGATAATCAAACTAATAAAACCCTACGTTTGAATATAAAATTTAAACGATGTTATTTTTAAAATTTAAGAATTTTCTACTGAAAAATACAACCATTGTCATTTCCGTCGTAGAAGTAAACTGGATTTGGGATTTGGATTTATATAGGCTCAAATCCACATATGTATGCACATGCTTACATTTGCAGATGTGAGATTATCATTTCTTGCAGTCCACAGCAATTCCAACTTTTGCTATTTACAATAAATTACTGGCAGGCCACGAGCCATATCTTAGAGGACATCAACAGCTAAGTCATTTCAGCCTCCAACGAAATCAATTCATTTGAAACCGACACTCTCACTATCTCTTAAATACATTCTTTCTTATTTACATACCATTCACACAGTTAGGGTAATAAATTACTCGTTATTTCTCCATCACCCTTTACAAGTATTAAGATCGATAAGGTACTCAGTATTCCGCCATCGGCCTTTCACACTACACATTCACGCTAATAAATACATTCATTCTCAACACACACTAGGTGAACAAAACTATCAGTATCCCATGCCATAACTCTGTTTCCTCCAATTTTCGGAACCGAAGAACCAGATACTCGCCATCGTGCTCAAGCACAATTTTCATATTCGTTGGCATTCCTACACGCTCTATACATGGAGTCAAGGAATTACATCCTTCAATTAGGTGGGACACATCGAGCAACCTTTCTCTGCATGCCGGACACATATGCGGGCTTTGGCCCAAAAGTGAGTGTCCGAGTGTCAACTATCCTTAATCGGGTAAGTATGACCCTTCTTCTACGAGTCAGATCCTCCAAGGGCCACCTATGGACACTTTTTTTGATATGTGAGAAATTCTCGGATGGCCGGTTCACTGACGCTACCACATTTTTTTAAATCATGTTTTGTATTGCATTTTTAGCGATAGAAGGACGGTTCGCGGAGGCTAAGTATGGAGATACGGAGATTGGAGCAGCTACCATCGTCTCGCACTCCCCAATGCGTGCCAAATCGTGTAAACGTAACTGTGCGGCGGGAGCGACGTGAAATATAAACAGTTTCGCACTGCTGCTACAATCACTCAAGACTTTAACAATGTTATTATCGTTCAAGTTGATGCTATTGTTTCTTAAAAATTAATCTATATAAGTTTGTTCAAGAAAAAATTTGCGTCGGGTACAATGCTTTAACGCAGCGATAACCAAATTCATGGGCATAACGAACCATCTTTTATTGATGCCATGTTCAAACATTATCGTTTCTGATGCAATGCAATCATATTGAAACAAATTGTTTTCGCATTAACAAACCAAAAGAAAGAGAAAAAGTTAGATGGATGCCGCAAAAATTAGAAAGAGAGAGAGACTAAAATACAAGCATTCAGAAAGGCAGATAGTACAAAAATAAATAAAAAAGGAAAGAAAGAGAGGGAGAGAGAGGGAGAGAGAGAGAGAGAGAGAGAGAGAGACGGAAGAATACTTTCAAATATAGAAAGAGTCAGCAACAGTGTGCCGTACTAGAAATAAAAACGCAATGGGAAATTTTATTGTAAATTCAACTGTAAACAGGTAGCTTTGCGATTCAAACTAGAACAACAGTCTTAAGGAAAATATATCATTTTAACATTTAAATTTATTTCTTTAAAATCTATTTTGATAAATGACATTGTTTCATCCGAGTTGTCCGGCATTGCCGTAGATGGCCAGCGTAGAATTGTCGACGGCAGTTGGATAAAAATTTATTGGACCGCTAATTCTAGCTCTTATATGGAGGTACGCAAATTTTGCGCATTAACCCGTCGCGATGAATTTAAATGCAAAGTCGTCACTGCTATGTTTAGTATCTCCGAACTACATAAATGTTTAATTCAATGTTATCTGTAATATCGAGTTCTATATGATGATAGCTGTAAATTCAAATTAAAACTATGTCTTATTAGACTGAATGATAAGAAATGAAGGCCTAATTCTGTTAAAAACATAATTACGTGGCATTATTATTTTAAAGATGTACATAGATATTGAAGACAGAGAAAAAAAGAAAAATGAAGAAGGTGGGTATGTGAAAGAGATAGTAAAAATTTCTTCCAAAGTTAAATTAGTTCGAGAACGCTTGCTTACAGAGGAAAAAAGAGAGTGAATGTGAAAGAAGGAAAAAAAGAGGAGAGATGCAAAGAAAAAATAAAGAAAGACAAATATTTACAAAAGAGGTTCAGAGGGATAGATTTAGATAAGTAAATAGATAAATAGAGCGCGAGAGAGAGAGTTTGAGAAGGAGGTGCGAGGATAGAGAACTTGTAAAAAGGAACGACTGAATTTCTTTGGTTCCAAGGAAGGCAGTGAAATCGAAAAAAAATATCAAAATCAACAATCAAACAAGACTAAACGATCGAAAACTGGCAACTATAACTAACAAACTAATTCATTTAATTAAAAAACAAAAAATCCACTTTAATTCAATATAGCGCATAATTATTATTTACGTTCCAGCGTTTCTTCTCTCAGTTCATTAGTAAATTGTACGGTTTAGAAGCAGTTAAAGAAGTTAAAGATTTATCGGTTCTGTTTAATAATGAGAGTTAATTTATGCTTCCTTACCTTTAAGGAGTGCTGAGCTAAAACGCTAAACGGTGTGAGAGAGTCATCTAAATGCAAAATTTTGTTTATTCAAAAGCCAATCTCGCCCCCTTTAAAACAAAATAACACAGGACGCCACATTGGACTGGTATAAAACAGTTTTCAAAATATTTAAGACTACTTTCACGGAATAAACAATACTTATACCAACGTAATTCATCGTTCAACGTTAAAGTTTATGACCAAGAGAAAACAAAACTAAATATATAAACGAATGATGAAAACAGCTATAAAACGAATATTGACACCATTATATTTATGAACCATCGAGAGGAAATAGTCCTTCAGGCATTACAGCGAAAATTAATAAAGGATTTCATGAAATACGCCCTATTTATATATTCGCAATAACGGCCAAAACTTACCAGTCTAAATATCCTTTTATACAGCCCTGAATTAGATGCAATAAATTGCCGAAAGCGTTGCGAAGATTTAAAATAGGAAAATCTTTAATTGGCCACATCACTAGTCATACCAAAGAGAATATTGTAAAGTTGGTCGATAAATCTGCCAGATATTTTTTACATTTTATCTAACAAACTAAAATAGAGATAAACTAAATTTTCTGCGTCCAGTTTTGTTTATTTCAGGAATTATGAAAAGTTACTTTTTTGCACCAAGATGAAATCACCAGAAAGGCAAAAACCCACTTTGTTTATATTAAAAACTTTATTGAGACTGATTAAATTCATCACCTAAACCTTCAAAGTTCACATGTAATTGACAATGATCACGTATATTTTATTTGTTAAAAAAAAATACTGATCGTTTAGCAGGCTTGAGAATTAGTTGAGAATAATTGTATCAGAACTCATTAGCATCTTCTTATTGCTATTTAACCATTAAGGATCAATTTGATTTTTGTCACAGTAATCAATAAACAGTGTAATCGCACAATATTAACTTGCCGAAATCTCGCGTTTTAAGAGCACTGTTTATAGGTGGCCTTCCAAAAACCTGACTCATAGAAGAAGGGACATTCTCACACGATTAAACATAGAAAACGTACTTTTACACAAGCCCGCGTATGTGTGCGGCATGCAGAGAAAGATTGCTCAATGTGTCCCGCCTAACTGAAGGTGCGATTCCTTGGCTCCATATAGAGAACGTGTAGGAATGCTACCAAATATTAGAATTGTGCTTTAGCATGGCAGTATCTGGGTCCCCTGTTCCGAGTCTTAGCGGAAACAGTGTTGGTTTCCTGTACACAGTACTGACAGTTTTGTGTAACTAGCGTATGTTGAGAGTCAATGTATTTATTAGCATGAATGTGTAATGTGAGAGGGCCGATGGCAGATTATTGAGTACCTCATCGATTAGGTATTGGAGGAAGTACGAGTATTCAACCACACTAACCGAGTGAACTAAGGTGATAATAAGTTTTAAAAGAGTGGGTCAGCGTGTAAATAGTTTTGGATTTATGAATTGCTTGCGTTGGAGATTGAAATGGCATAGCTGTAGATATCCTCTGGAGCCCAACCTCGGTGCCTGGGCGGATAGGACTGAGGTATGACGCCGGACTGCCAATCCTCGTGATGGGTGATTGTCGAGACCTACCGGTGATTTATTGTAAATTACAAAAGCTGGAAATACCTTTGGACGATAGAAGTGATACGGTCAACTCTGAACACATGTATGTATATGTAAATTTCATGCATGTGCAA